ATCTTGTAATATTTTAAGAGATCTGTTAGTGCCACAGGAGTCCTGGTGGTGCAGTGGTTAAGCGTTCAGCTGCTAACTGAGAGGTCAGTAGTTTGAACCCACCAGCCACTCTGTGGGAGAAAGATGTGACAGTCTGTTCCTGTAAAGATTATAGCCTTGGAAACCCTATGAGACTGTCCTAGTCTGTGCTGTAGGCTCACTATGAGTTGGAATTGACTCAATGGCAATGGGTTTAATTTTTTAGGGGGGTTGGTACCACCGTAAGAATCCTGGAGTTGTCAGCAGTGCATGTAGGCTCTGGTGGTCTGTGGCTGGCATAGTGTCTTTAGTCAGAACTCTTATTTAGAATTCCATTGCTGGTTTCATTTAACAGCTCAGATGCCAGAGCATCATTGCAGGTATTGTTTCAAGCATCTGCTTTAGGACTGGGAGCAGTGTCTGGATTTAAATGGGGGCCCCATGTGGAAAATCAAATTACAATATCAAGCATAAAATCGTTTCTTTTAAAGACATTCTCTGATTTTTTATAGTGCATAAAATAATGCCACGTTAAAGAAAATAATATCACAACTTATTTTATTGTAAATTAAATGCTTATTAACTATGGAAATAATTTAAGGCCCTTCTTTCAGATTCTCTGAATCTGTGAATTGGATAAAAGTTTAAAGCATTTGTATAACAAAGATCCAGTTATAATCAGAACATAGAGGGTTCCGGATAGTGGAGAACTCCTTCTGTATCTCCACCTCCCAGTATTTTTGGCTCAGACTGAGGTGATTAATATGCCATTTTAGTTTAAGATACCTTGCTAAAATATCCTTTTTTAATTTTCAAAATATGTCTTATATCTGGCCTTCTTTTAAGAAAGCTGTATTTCCAATTTGCCCTCTTGAAGATAAAACGTTTTTCTGTAGTATTAAAGAACCCAGCTTTACATTTAAATTAGCTTTTAATGAAAAACTAGAAGAAATTAATGTGTGTCTTCTAAAGGTCTAATGAGGATTTAAATTTCTCTTCTTTGGAGTGCAAAAATATGAGCAATGCAGTGTTTTAGCTGTATCTTATAAAGAATGTTAAAAGCATTGTTTATTTAACTGAAAAATGAGAAATAAAATAAGATTTTAAAAAATATACTTTAATTCAGTATGTAAAACATGAGAGGACCATGTGAGATCATTTTCTCTATTATAATAGTTTTGCATGGATAAAGAAATTGTTACGTTTTTCAAGTTGTAAAATCCTTTGTGACTAAACATTAAAGGTGTGTTAGTCAAGTACTGTTCTTTTCCAACCCTGCTGTGCATTGTATACTTTCAGTTCACGAGCGCACCAAAAAAAAAAAAAAAAAATGTAGAGGACAAAGTCACAGCTGTTAGATAAGAAAATGTGAAATAGGAAGGTTACAGAGATTATACTCTGCATTATTCAGTTATTATTATGGCTCAAGTTGAGAAGACTGTTTGGCTTAATGATCAGACATGCTGTATCTTTTCAAAGCTTGGCAGTTCAGTGCAATTCATATCCTAAAATAGCTTTAGTATTTGATACAGCATAATTTTGAAGCTTAATAGTGGTTGTCATACACCATTTAAACGAGAACTTTGGAATCACTTATTGTTTATTATCTTTATGTGAATATCATTTAGCCACCTTGTCAAGATATCCAACAAAAACTTTCCAGAAACAACTTCTAAACTCTTGGTCTTTAACAATTACATCTACAGGTTAAATTAATTTTTTTTTCCAAAGGAAAACAGTATGGTAGATTCATATTGAGTTAGATTGTCAATCTCTGTATTGTTGTGAGAATTCAGATGTGTTGATGAACACAGAAATAAAGAGGCTGGAAATCATTCCTATCCTGTAAATGCAGGCACACACATCCACTAGAATACAGGTTTCCAAGTTGTCAGTGAATATGGTGAGTCAGCCTCATGGAGATCCAGGAAGATGCCATGTGGAAGTTATTGACCTAATTAAAGGCTTTTCGAAGACACTAATATTCCATTTCTATGTGAAATGAGTCAAGGCTTTTACACTTTGTAGCTTGGCTGGGGTTAAAGCTGAGTCAGAGCTGGCCCAGCCTCATCCCCTGCTCTTTGAGGGAAAGAGATGAGAGGATGTTTAACCTCACAGCCATAAGGAAGCTGTGGGGAAGTACCCATGTTACTCCCCTTATGTTGGCAAAAGCCAGCTCCTGTGCCCCACAATATGGCAATTATCTGACATTTCACACATACATGCATAAGAACTCTCAAATACTCTCAGAAGCTAATATTTAGAACTCTTTTTTCAAGCTGTGTCAGAAAGATCCTGCGTTCATGTGTCAGATATAGTGCTCTCCACACTGAACTTAATGCTGTGTGTTATGAGGAACATGGCTGTACTTTCTACATTTACGATCCCTGAGCTGATTTACAAAGCAGAGGCCTGTAGCAGTATTATTCGAGGCCTTCAGTTGTTCATGAGATGTTATGGTGGGGGAAGGGAATGACTGTATCTTCAAGCAGGCGCATGCTACCATTGGCAAACCCGACTTTTCGTCTTGGCTTACTGCAGTAGTAAATGACCGCATTATCTCTTCCAGCATCTTTAATTCCTTTCCCCCACTCTCTTTCTCTTCCTGTTTCTTGTCATTAGTAGAGGGACTGCTATGTGATAGAAGCAACTTGTCCCTTTTAATCAATGTTCTTACAATACTTTTTTTGCCTTTAAGGAAGTAAACATCGGTATACTTCTATTCTAGAAAAAATGTATTATCATTAGCGTACAATTTTTAGTGAGAAGTATTTTTGAGTGATTCATTTAATCAATAAACATTGATAGGTGGCTATCGATAATATTGTGACACATAGCATGTAACCAGCATACAAGTATGGATGTCATATATTAGGATACTTCACATAAAGAGGCTCAGAGGTTTATGAAAGTCAGTGGAAGGAGGAAATTCCCTTTGACAGTGGGGATCATGGAAGGTTTAATGGAGTTTGAGATATTTGAGTTGGACCTTAGAGAATGGGTAGCAGGAGGACATTTCAGAAGGGGAATAGAACATACTCAAAAATAGGAAAGCATGGGGTGGTTTTAGGGAATTATGACTGCTTTTTTTTCCCCCCAAACAGTAGACTGTATCACAAGAAACAGTGGGGTAAAAAGGCAGGGAACAGGCTGTAGCTGACATATCCCTGAACTCTCCATGATAATATATTATTTTTCTGTATCATTTTGGTTTTATAACTCAGATTTATTGTGCACTTTCTATATAAAACTCAACTGTATCATCTTACCTCATTTTAAATGTCAGCATAGATTTGCCTGTCTTTTGTGATATTCTGGGGCTAGTTAAAACATAATTATGGAAGAAACTTCTGTCACTATTACTTTCATCAGATAATACCTATGTGTAAGGAAATTTAGCACTCTGACTTGACCAAGTTTTCCTAACTTTAATGCCAGCATTAAATATATGGCTCTCTGAAAACCATTCAGGGCCCTCCACAGTATAATAATAACAGTAACAACAATTATAATGACTGAAGGAATACAAAATACCAATATTCATTGTCTTTCCTGAAATAAGATGAGTTGGTGGGTTTTATGGATAAAAGGTCAATTCTTTGAACATTACTATTACAGTTTTTACTCCAGCATTTGTCAGTGCTGCCTTATTGTTGACCACCTCCTGTAAGGAAACAGGTGAGGCCAGGTCAGCAGGTAGAATAACTCCAGCAAGATATAAGCTAGAGATCAAATCTAAGGGATAAGTTCCTGTAGCATAATCCCTCAGTTACAAGATATGCCATTGATTTAATAATTGCTTTGAAAGGAAAAAGGTAACAGCACGACCACATGAAATGCCCCATCTTTTGTAAGAGGCAATGTACTTTCTGTAATGTTGCACATAAAAATTGAGTCTGTCACAGAATCAAGGAAGAAGATAAAGAAGTGTGTCCTAGAGGCAAGGTCAAGTTTAGAGACTAGACCTTAGGTATGAGGCCAAACTACATGGACCAGAAAGTGGAAGTCAAAAAAGGAAACCTAGAGTCCAGACTGGACAGTAGAGGTGAGGTGGGGGTTGAAGGGGCTGGGCACAGATTGGAATCAGGATGAAGTTTAACCCAACACGCCTGGGAAGAGAAGTTAGAATAGAACACTAAAAATGCAGTTCTTCATCCCACAGAATCAGAAGTGTTAAGACTGGAAACGCTTTTATCTGTCTTTGTCTGGGTAAGTGCCCCATGTGGCCCTTCACTGAATGGACACGTGAGGGCTAGCAGGTAGGGATCACGCCTGGTCTGTGGCTGGATTTCTGAGGGTGTCATGGCCCTCTGGGGTCTCCTCGCAGGTGTGACAGGTGTTTGTAGTCCATAGAGGAGAAAGTCATGGTTTTACATAATCTCGTGCTCCCTGTACAGTCTTATACAATGTAGCTTCTTTCCTTCCCCCTTCCACTTACTCTCAGATGTTACTGAAAAGAAATTTTAAATCTTTTGACAGCACCTACATTTCTATGCAGCCCAATTCTAAGGTCATGTTATTTTGGTTGAACTTTGAGAGAAACTGAATTAGCTTTCCAAGGTTGACCGCTTAGTGAGTGTGAGTCTCAGTGGAGGCCGGGAGGGGGCGCTGAGCGGGCCGGCAGCCATCTTCTTCTTTTTCTAATTTTATCCAACCATTTATTTTATTTTATTGTACTTTAGATGAGGGTTTACAGAACAAATAGTTTCTCATTAAACAGTACACATACTGTTTTATGACACTGGTTAACAACCCCACGACATGTCAACACTCTCCCTTCTCAACCTTGGGTTGCCTACTACCAGCTTTCCTGTCCCCTCCTGCCTTCCAGTCCTTGTCCCTGGGCTGTTGTGGTGGCCCATTAGTCGCATTTTGTTTTATGGGGCTGTCTAATCTTTGGCTGAAGGGTGAACCTTGGGAGTGACTTCATGACCGAGCTAAAAGGGTGTCTGGGGGCCATACTCTTGGGGTTTTCGGACCATCTTTTTCTTGGTGGAGGTGGGTGGAAGTGGGTATTGGGTGTCAGATCCCGGTCCCCTTTATGTAGGAGAGCAGAGGGTAAGGGCTCTGGTTGCCTCGGTATCATGTCATCAGAGGCTTCCACTCTGGTGGTTCTATCTTCAAGTGCAGGGACAAGGTACCAAAAAAAGTAGAAAGAAGATATTAATGATATTCACCAGCCACTCCTTGGAAACCTTGTGGGGGCAGTTCTAGTCTGTCCTATAGGGTCACTATCAGCCTGATTCGACTAGATGGCAACTGGTACAGGTGGTGTATCTGTGCTTTGTGTAAAACCAAAAAACTCGTCGCCATCAAGTTGATTCAGACTCAGAAAAAAAAAAAAAAATTAAGACCACCGTGTACATTAAAAAAAAAAAAAAAATCCAAACCCGCCACCATTGGGTAGATTCCAACTCACAGTGACCCCATAGTGTTTCGAGGGCTGTAAATCCCTACGGAAGCAGACTGCTGTATCTTTCTCCCACAGAGCTGCTGGTGGTTTTGAACCCCCAACGTTTTGGTTAGCAGTCTAGTTCCTTAACCACTACAACACCACATACATGTAAGATATGATATGGTGGGTACAAAAATAATATTGTGAGGTCAAAGACTTGTGTCGTGTTTATCTACTAGTTAAGTAGACCTAGGACAGTGCCTGGTTTGCAGGAATTACTTAGACAATTTTGGTTGAATTAAACGAGGTATTGTCTTTGTAGTGTTTAAAGAATTATCTCTAAACATAATTTGCAAGTGCTGTTTGTTCTAAGATTTGTTTAAGACATATGCTTATAAATAAAAAACTAGCATTTATTTTAGCAGAGCCAGTTAGGAATTAAGCCTAATATTTCAAATGCCACAGCTGACATTTCGATATTACTAACCCAAAATCTTTCAATGATATCCTCCAGTACAAATAAAATGTACTTTCCATCCATGGGCAAAGGGCTTAAAATGGGTCAAAAGTGTAAGCTCATTAACCAAATGGACAGCAAACATAAAACACATATATTAGAAAAGTATATTTCAATTTTTAGACTCGCAAGAACTAAAACATAATTTTTGTGAAATTTTGTGAATATGCAGGAAGATTTTTTAAATGCATACATTGCGATAGCCCATGAAGCTACTTCTTTCTGATTCAATTTCATAAATTGCTACATGAAGAAGCACCCTCTAGTAGATAATACTCAGAAATCAGCACTTAATATGGCAGTAATGGTTATTGCTGTCATTCTTTACATCTTTAAAAATAATTAAGCATTACTGCATGGGCATTATAAAGTTCCCCTATCACCGTTAAGAGGATATTTGAGGTTCGATGTAATTTAGCAAATTACATTATACAGTAGTTAAGGTTTTTATGTAGTGAAGTAAAATGTGTAGCAGTTAAGCACACTTACCATGTAATGCATTGTACGGAGTTACATGTTCCAGCTGCTGCCAGCTTTGTTCCAGTGTCATTATTGCTTTGCAGGCTGACGTTCCTCAGGGAGTGATTCGAGTGCAAGCTCCCCATCTTTCGAAAGTTTCCATGGCAATACAGCTAACTGAAGAACTGAAAGCCAGTGATGTTCTTGCCAGGTTTCTCAGCCAAGAAAGGTAGAGGCCTGTTTCTGTTTTAATTATTTCATGGTATAACTCACTTTCTGCCTCCCCCCTTGACCCCTCCCCTCTTTTTTTTTAAACTATGGAGTGGTGTGAAATGCTTAAAAAATGTGTCTTCCAGCAGAAAAGAAGAACAGACTTAACAATTAAACTGTTGGAATGAGTTGAGCTTCTCTGAGGTAGTTTGTTTTCACATTGAGCTTGTTTCTAGCAGGATGTCTGAGGATTCCTTCACTGTGCCTGCAATGCGCTTGGCACATGAGACCGCTCAGTATTCTTTCCAGAATATGTTGATCGGAGGTTAATTACTGTTTGTAAGCCGTTAACAAATTACTAATTAGGGTACAGTGGGATTCAAACAAACAAATACCAAAACATAACTTTTTCTATTAGAGATAATGAATAAGAAGTAATGCACACGTACACAAAGTAATGCACAAATTTAAAAAGTAAAATCTAGTGGAAGGTGTCAAGAATTGAGAGAGGACATCAGTCTCCAGAGCACTGAAGTGCAAAGGCAGGGCTCACCAACCTCGGTAGGGACAACCAAGGCTTTTACCTCTATTCAGGGGCTTATGCAGCTGTGGAGTTCTTTGAAAGCTAGTGGCTTCCTTCTCATAATATTAGAATGTGTGCTTTCCAGAACATTTTTCAATATCTATTTATGAATTTTAAAAGTTCAAACAAGTGTGTTGGGTTTTCAGTTTCTACCCTTTGAGTTCTTACTTTTAACTAAGGTCATATTTCTTAGTGCTTTTCCCCCTTCCCCCCGCCACCCACCCCTGCCACTGAAATAAACTAGTCTAATTTTTTAAAAAATCAGTGAAATCAGGGGCATCTTGGCATATGAATACTCTGTTTTGGTCTTTCTTTGAATTTAGGCCCTCAATAAAGTTTCCTGCTGAAACCTGTCCAATTTTAATACAGTACCACAAGTATTTAATATGTGTCTGCTCTGTTTATGGCCCTCTGCTAAGCGTTGGAATGGATATAAAAATTAACTTTAAAGTATCTTCTCTCAGGGTTTATAAATCTGGAGATGAGATGAATCTGTGCTGTTAACAGATGGTGGTGAAATGAAAAGGAAGCTGATGGGTAATATCTGGACTTCTAGTGAGCCATGATAAACGTCCCTCTCCATAACCTCTGAAGTTACTGCTAGTATAATACCTGCTTTGCTGATAAGAAAACTGAGACTTCACAAGGTCATGCATTTCAGAGATGGTTGAGTGGGATTCTAATTCTGTAGTTTCTGTCTCCAAAAGCAGCCTCCCCACACTGGCTAAAGGGTGTAGAGATCATCACGGATCTGGGAGCCACTGGTGTAGCCTGAGAGTAGATGGAATTTCTCAGGATTAAGTCCTGGGAGTAGTTGGAATTTCTCAGGATTAAGTCCTGGGAATAGTTGGAATTTCTCGGATGTCTTTGCACTTAAAGCGTCTCACTGGTTCAAGGAAGTCAATCCATTTACTCTCTGTTCTTTGCCTTGACTTAGTAGATACCAACTATATGCCATTCTTCCCTCCAGGGATGAGCATGTACCTAAAGATCTGGCCAGATTTCAGATCTAAACAGACATTTTATGATAGACCCAGACAACTTACATAGCATTTACTTTTGTGATCCACGCGTTTAGTGTGCTCTGTACTTTGATTTCTCTACTTGCTGATACTGTAAGATGTAACTATGAAGTTGTACAATATATTCATGTGACTTTAATACTTAGGGTATAGCATGAAACAATAGTAGAGATATTGTTATAGAAAGTACCAGTACTTTCCAGGTATTTGGATTTCAGTTTCCAGTGATGCTTTTATTAAATAAGCATTTGCTGCCTACTGGAGCTATATCTCTTCTTCCACTTTCTCCCTTTTCCTCATCCTACTCAACCCTAAGCTACCTAGTCTGGTAAATTTCTTTCTCCATTTACCTCTTTTCTTCCCAGTCCTCAGCCTTTTTCTTTATGCTTGAGGAGGCTGGAGATAGACCATCTGTATTCAAATGCCAATGCTGCCTTAGTCCAGTTTTTATAATTTCTTTAATTCTCAGGTTTTTAATCTTAAAAGAGGACAGTAATAGGACCTACCTTGTAGTTTTGTGAGAATTAACTAGGAAAAAGACTGTGAAGCACTTAGCGCTGTCTGTCTGGGGCACTGAGTAACTGAAGTCCTCAGTAAATTTAAATATATTTTTTTGTTCACCACATTCTGAAGCTTTTAGATTCCACCAGTGTGGATGGAGGCAGGGGGAAACCCTGCTTTCCTCCATCCTTTTCCTCCCCAACTTTCCCCACTGAAGCCAATGAACGCATGCATGACATAAAATAAGTGTACAGTGAATTGTACATTCATTCCTCAGTCTCTGGTAAAGTCTTTTCTTTGATTATGGATTTGTTGATTACTACCATGCAAAGGCTTACATATACAAGAAAATTCAGTTTAGGTTTCTTTAAAGTGAAATAATAACATAGCACTTGAGAAGTAATCTGAGGGCAATTCCTGACTTGATTTTGTTTTTTTACCAAGTCTCCCAAGACATTCGACTTTGTTTTCATCGAGACAATGTTTTTTTTTATACTTATAGTTTATTGGGTTATTTACTGTATTACAAATGAAAATAATAATTATTAATTTTTTTAATTTGAAAAATAAACATAAATCAGTTTGGAAACAAACTGAGTTGACTCTCAGTTAGAATACAACTCAGTAGGTGAGAACTTAAGCGTGAGGGTATGGGTACGTATATACAGCCCTAAGTGTCTAGTGGGCCAAGGATATCAGAATGGATAAAGTTGGAGAACCAGATGGGTCATAAAATGGATGGATGTTGATCAGGAAAGCTTCTACTATACTGCATTTTTCTTAGTGGCTTGAATAAGAGTCGGACCTTGTTTTCTCTTAATCCCAGAGAATGTATGGTCAGGGCCTTATATCCATGGTTTACAAACCTTTCCATGCATCACAATGCACTGTAAAGCATTTTTAAAGCAAATTCTCATGCTTCATTCTAGACAGATTAAATCAGAATTCCTAAAGCTCTAGATGTGAATTTTTAGCAGGCTTCCCAGGAAATTCTTGTATAGAAAGTTTTGAAAAGCACTAAACTCTACTAATTTTTACTGTTTTAACCTAGTGTTTTAGAAGAGTTTATTTGAAGAATGTAAATTTGTAAATACATCCCACTTGTTGTAGTCTCCATAATGAGTATTTACTTCTACTCAGACTGTAGGCATCTCCCATATTTGGACATCCAACACAAAGAGGGTTTTGAACCATGTCTTATTATTTACATCCGTCTTGTACAGTATGTACACTATTAGAGTTGTCAGCATTGCAAGCACATGATAAATATTGATTGAATAAATGCAGTGTGAAAACTAAGGTGGAAACATTTCTTTTTATAGTTGTATGAGGACCTTCTTGTCCTTTATGCGAAGTAGATTATCATATTAATAGTTTTAATGGCGAATAAAATGTTACTTTTCTTTTTACCTTTACAGATTTAGATACTGATTTATTATTTTGCCTTTAGATGTATGATTCAATTTGTTTGTCTTAATTTACAGGTGTGACATTTTTATTACCTATTAGGCACATTTAACAGATGGAAAAATATGAATGTGCTGATAATTACAGTGTGTCTAAGTTATGAATTTTCTGTACAAGTTAGAACTCCCCAAGCACATTAAAGTGATTTACTCGAAAGCTCTTCGATGGTAGAACTAATCTGTTTGTTTTTGTCCCTAATAGTGGGGTTGCCCAGACTCTCAAGAAAGGGGAAGTTTTTTTGTATGAAATTGGAGGAAATATTGGTAAGTACAATTTTTTCTCTTACGTTTCGTATGCTGATTTAACATTACCAATGGCTATTATTTATTATGTCTTTGGAGGAGAAAAAGGAAATTAGAAGTAAAATATAGCAATCTATAGATAGTTGATGAATTTGTAGATTTAATGGTCTGGCCTTTTCCTTCAGGCTCTGTTTGAGCTCCTTTTGCACAAATGACTATGTTCAACCTTTGCAAAGGCAATTCCCCATAAAGGAATTACTCCTAGAATGGTTAATGATGCAAGTTTTTCAAAACTGCTTTCTTGTACACTTAAGTCACATCATAATAAAAGAAGTGCTTAAGTTTATTTAAGGCCAAGATAACACTTGTACTATGATACAATACTAGATATTTTTAGTAAAAGAGAAATTACTTTTGCCTTAAGTTGATTTCCTACTAAATAATATATATACATTGGTAACTTAGAAAATACAAATAGGAAAAATGGATTAATTTTGACCAGGACTTTTTTTTTTTTTTTTTTGGTCCATTTGAAATTGTCATCATAGTGGATCTTAACATCTCTTTTAAATTTAAAGTAAACTGATCTATCTTTCTCTCTTTTTTTTTTAACTCCTGAAAGTGATAATGATGATATTGTCAAGAAATAAATGAAATAATGTTAAATTCAAAATAGTAATTGGAAATATTTTAAGATAAGTTTTGTAGAACTTTTTTTTTTCCCTGGGACTTAAAAATGTTAGTAAATATTGAAAGTTGAATACAGGAATATGATGGCTCATTAGTAAAATTCAAATAAACCATAACTGCATTAGAAATATGAAAGTGTTAACTCTATTAATAAAGATTATTTAAATATTAATATATTTAATTTTTCATTTTGCTATTAGATATTGAGGACTAAGTGATTTTTTATTTAGGTAGATTCAAAACTATTGCCATTCTTAATAAAGGTGAATAGGCTTTTAAGAAATTATTGCAAAGCCCATTACCCAAAGTATTTTCTAACCCATTGCCATCGAGTCAATTCTGACTCAGAGTGACCCTATAGGACAGCGTGGAACTGTCCGATAGGGTTCCCAAGCTGTACTCTTTACAGAAGCAGACTGCCACATCTTTCTTCCATGGAGTGTCCAGTGGATTCGAAATGCTGATCTTTCAGTTGGCAGCTGAGCGCTTTAACCACTGCACCACATACCACCAGGGCTTCTTAAAGTATTTTCTACTTTATGAATTAATTTTGAACCTGTTCATTCAGAGAAAGACTACTAAATTAACTTTTTGAATATTTTGTCCAAGTTCTAGAATATTATTATGAGAAATAAGAAAGAATGAGAAGTATTTTGAAGTCCAGGACTTCAGAGTTAAACCATCAGGCTTAAGTTTAAAAACTGCATTCCAGCTTACCTACTGTATTAAGCTGATAAAATATCTCTCTAATAGGGGAACGCTGCCTTGATGATGACACTTACATGAAGGACTTATATCAGCTCAACCCAAATGCTGAGTGGGTTATAAAGTCAAAGCCATCATAGAAGACTTAACAAGTTGCCGGTAACCATGAGGAATTACTTAATAATACTTGCTGGGTCAAGAGTGTAAATAAAAGAAATGGCAGGACCTGCAGGACTCGTTTATTGTTCAAATATACCCCGCTATTAAAACATGACACCCAAGCCTTAAAAAATTATAGCTTTGTGCTGCTGCCAGAATTGCCAGTTTTATTATTATTAATATTATTATTATTAGAACACCTGTATCTCTGGAGTAAGAGAAAAGGGACTTAATTGGCTTTTGGACTATTGTACTCTGTGAAATGTGCCCAGATGTGACATTGTTTTTTCCTCATTTGAAAATAAACTCTCTTCCCTCTCACTTTTTTCCAAAATCATATATGCTATAATATATGCTCTGTCACCTATCTCTCCTGCTCATAGCTCCCTTCCACCAATTAGGTTTGCTTCAACCAAAAGGACTTCCTTGTGATAACAAATATCAGGTATGGCAGGCTGTTAAGCCAGCACATCTTAAAGTATGTGGAATTCAATAGTATTCCTGTCACTATAGAATGTTAATGTTCATCTCTTTGAAGCATTTGTTCAAACAGTAACATCCTACTTCCTCCTGCTGTCTCATATGAGGTGATTTGGATATTTTTCAGCTCATTTGACATAGGTTCACAGAACTGTAACCACTATCAAGAAAACAGAACTGTCAGAAACTGCCAATTATTACTGAACCATAAAATACTTATATACTAAGAATAAATAAAATATCTGTGGAATAACTGGATTATGGATTTTAAGAAAGTGAAAGCCAAATCACTTAGTGTATGCTGTACTCTTCTCAATGGAATTTAAAAAGTCGTAGCTGGCTTTACCGATTGTCATATTAGCTCTATAAATATGCATCATAGTATAATTCAGTCGTGGTTAGAAGATTTATTCTACTTAAAGAGAGATTTTTTTTTTAACTCGTAAATAAGTCTACCAGTAGAGTTATGCTTCTGAGTAAGACACAGTCACATATGAACAAGCTTTTGTTTGTGCACTTATTTAAATAACCAGAATAGATTTATTAAAATGCTGTGGAAAGTACTTCTCCCAGGGATTTTAATGCACAAACCATATTGTGACAAGAGATGAGCCTCTGTACTGTAAATAAGAGGAATGAAATGAGAGAGAAATGTTAAATATTTTATGAGTTTAGAGTGTAGTAAATAAAAGGTGATGTAAATTAATGCTGCACAAGCTGTGTTTATGATACTTTTAGTAGTACTTTAGGAAAAATTACACATTATCAGATGCTCTGGATGTCACTCTAATTAGGAGGAAAAATGCTGTTGATGAGAACAGTCATAAATTTTTAGCATATAATTACAAGAGCAGCCTGTGGATATGACCACTTAAATAACTTTGTGGTGATTAGTGCCATTGCTTTTTTATTTAAAGAGAAATTTTGTAATTAAATGCATTTTTCTAAATTATCTTCTCTTGGAATTATTACTTTTAATCCTCTGTGTTCATCAGTTGACTAATGGACTTTTTTTTTTGGGTGGGGTGGGGGAGGGAGGTTATTTCTACTGGTTTTGCTCCTGTGTAATTTTTAAAGTGGGAGGGCATGTGAGAGATACAAGCTTGTCCCTCCTTACTTTTGTTCTTATGCTCATTTCTATTCTTTAGGACTTTTCCAAACACACTGTTCCTGATTTTGAATATATGTATTAATTTCCCAAATAGCAAAGTAATGTTTTATTAATGGTTTAATGAAAGCAAGTAGCAATATAAAAAGGGCAATTCAATGCTTAAAACACTTTAGACGTGCACAACTTCAAAAACAAAACAGGAGTGAATAGCTGTTTTAAATAAATGGTTTTCTAGAATGTATGCCAGCTAGTTTTCACCATGTTTACTACTCAGCTGGGGGAAAGAAACAAAACACAAGAAGTTTTTGATAATTAAAAAGTACCAGCTCTTGGTAAGTAATATTAAAGATGCAACTTTATTTTGAGTCCCTGTTAAAACTCAGGACCCAAATTCATTGATACTGGACAATATTACATTTAAATAACCAAGAAAGGTGTCTGTCCACACGTGTAAAGAAGAGAAAATTAACAGTGTTTAGTCTCAGGGCAGATTTGTTTTTATTTGTTAGTGTGTGAGGGAAAATAAAAACAACAAATATATTTGCCTTGAGACTCAAACAGTTTAACTCTTAAGGGAGTTTCTGTGAAAAGTAGACCTGGGTATAGTATTTATAGGAGAAGACTTATTATTTTGCAGTTACTTCCCCTTTTCTGAAGGAGGTCATTATAATTCTTTACAATTACACAATCTTTGCTGACTGCTGTTGTGGAATTCAATGTAAATTCCTTGCTAACACTATTTCTGAAAAGCTGTTTTACTGACTTCATGGGATTTTTAAACTCCATTGTATTCTACCTCACTGTCCTGCATTTTGACCTACCTATCAGTAGGTGGCAGTATTGGTAAGGGATTTGTTTGCACCTACAACATGGGAGGTTTTGAAAGTGAACTTGAGTTCAAAGAGAAGTTCATAGGTAATTGCAAGGTAATTAGGTAAGAACACCGCAGATCTCTCATCTGGATCACCGATTCTGAATTTATAAATCATATTTAATTGCAGTGTTTTAACGTTTAGTCTATTGGTCTTTTATCCTTAATCCATTGGGTGGGGAAGGAGAGAAGGTTTTTCTGACTCAAAATTAGACATTTTGATGATGTCTACTTCAAGTAGAAGGATTATGACAAGAAGCAAGGCAGTGAACCAGAAAAAAGGAAAGATGACTAAGGTAAGCGTGTGTAATGTGCCTCTGTCTTTATTTTAATGTATACATGTTCACTTATCATTCAGCAAATATTTATTGAATGTCTACATATGTGGAAAGCATGCTCTACCCTTGGGATACATTCAGTGAACAAAATAACAGAAGAGCCCTGTTCTCATATTGCTCCTGCATGCTTCCCTCATAGAAGGGATTCAGTTTAATCTGGGACATACTGAGTTTGAAGTACCTATTAGGTGTCCAAGTGGCAATGCTGAGTAGCTCTTATATGAGCAGGAGTTCAGGAGAGATGTCTGGGCTGGTGTCATTCGTAGGTATATGGACTTTAAACTTCTAGTGCAGGGACACAGATAATTATATAAAATGAATTAATTAATAAATAACATAGTATGTTAAAAGTTGCCAAGTGCAACAGAGACACAGACACACACAAAGATGAGCAGGGTAAGTGGGACCAGGACTCGTAGGATGGAGGGATAAGCATACTGCAGTTTTAAACAAGGGGGTCTCATTGAACAGGTAACATTTGAATAAGACTTGAAGTGAGGAACTTACCATGCAGATATCTGGGGAACAGCATTCCAAACAGAAGAAAACAACTAAGAGCAAAAGTCCAAATGCAGGCACATGCCTAGATATCAGTGTGGCTGTAGTGGAATGAGTGTTGGTGAAAGTAGTAGTTGAGGTCAGAGAGGTAATGTGAGTGTAGGGGGTGAGATCATGGAGGGCCTGGTACTAGGGTATCTATAATTTATCATTCAATTTAGGACATCTCTTCAGCGAAACAGGGCACTGTTGTGAAGGTGGTAGCAATGGAATGCTAAGAAGTAGTCAGATTCTGGGCATATTTTTGAAGGTATAACCTACAGGGTTTCTGGTATGAGAGAAAGAATAATCAAGGATAACTATAAATCTTTCTGTTTAAGCAGTTCGAAGGAGGGAGTTTCCAACAATAGTGAAGGTGAAGGTAAAGCAGGTATTCTGGGGGAGGAGGGATTCAGGAGTTCAATCTTGAACATGTTGAGTTTGAGGTGTCAGATATTCAAGCGACAAGGTCTAGTAGGCTTTTATATGAGCAGAAGTTCAGTAGAGAGGTCTGGGCTAGTGTTGTCAGTAAGTATATGGACTTTAAACTTAAACCACGAGCTTGCAAGAGATCATCAAGGCGTATAGAACAGTAAAGACCAAGGACTGAGCCCTGGAGCTACCCAACATTGTTGTTAATTGTCATGGAGTCAATTCCGACTCATGGTGACCCCATTTGTGCCACCCAGGAACTCCTTACCCATCATTAGGGGTTAGGAAGAAGAGAAGGAACCGCAACGGGATTGAAAAGAAGTGACCTTTCAGATAATTAAGGGAGCGTGGTATGCAAGCAGCCAAGTGAAGGAAGGGTATCAAGAAGGGAGTGATTATAATATCAGGTGTTACTTATAGCTCAAACGAGCTGAAGAGTAGGAATTGACCATTGAGCTTATCTATATGAAGGTCATTATTGACTTTAGTAAGCAGTTTAGATAAAGTGATAGGATTGAAAGCCAGAATGCAGTGGAGTTAAGAGAGAATGGTCGAAGAAGAATTGAAGACAGTGAATATGGACTGCTCTTACAAGGAGTTCTGCTGTACAAGGGAGCAAATAAATGAGACTAGCTAGCAGCAGAATAGGTGGTGTGGCTTGTATAGAGGACCTTGAATGCCGGGCTTGGAATTTTTGCAGTTAAGCAATATTTTGAGAGGAGGCAACAAGGGTACTAAAGCCAGACTGCTTGGGTTAACTAATGTGACCTTGGACAAGTTACTTAATCTGTGCTTTGTTTTTTACTTTGTATAATGAGAATAGTAGGAATATTTACCTCTTAGAGATTTACTTACAGGGTCGCTATGAGTTGAAGTCAACTCAACGACAGTGGTTTATTTTTATTTAGAGATTTTCTATAATTAAATAAGTTAATCCATGTAATGGGCTCAACAGAGAACTTGCCTCATAGTAAGTATTGAAAAAACTTGAGTATTTAAATCAGGGGTATTATGACTGATATTATCAGAGCTATACCCTAAGAATGATCGCAAAACTTTATTCTACTGCCATAGGGTTCATCCGTTTACTCCTTCATTGTCCTGGTTTTTCTGGGCCCTTGGCCTCTTGTGTTCCATACTAAGTATCAATAATAATTTTCTTTTCATTTCAATTGGCTTCACATCTTGGAATCTGGACTTGACATCCAGCCTCTCTCTTTCACTTTCTGGCCTAACATATTGTATGGTGAGACTTGGCTCTGATAGAGATTCATATGAAACATTAGAACCCCCTTCACTCCATACAACCGTTTCTTAAACTCAAAATTTCTTTGAAGAATTTTATGTCTTATTTGCACATGTATCTGCATTCTGTAAAAGAGGCACAGATTGGTTGCCAGAAAAACTGCTTTTATGATATTTCCAACTAAGACCTAGCCACACTAGCTTTGTCACAAGCAAGCTTTTTATCTTGAGATTTCAAGTCTTGATTTCTCAGCCTAAGGAGCTCAGATAAGCTTCAGAGAAAGCAGCCCCACTCCGCTGCCTTTACTCCTCTTTTGATGTTCACCCTCATTGTACCTCGGCAGCTCACTTCTGTCTCTTGCATCTCCTTTAACCTTTATAAAATGACAGCTTTCATGTAACTTCTGCCTTAAGTCACATTCTGCTCCAACCAGGGACAAACCAAAGAAGAAATTTCCCCTAGCTGGAAGTTCATAGGAGAGTCACCAAGAGTGACCTAATTCTGAACAGTTGATTAGTTAAAATGTTCTTTCTCTCATCTGACAGTAACCTCGTTACACATACAAAAAGGCATTGATTTAAAATCATTACCTGTGACTTGAAAATTCTTATTTCAACTGAGGACTCTAGGGACATCTTTGCTTTGGTTGCTTTTATCACCGAGTTTGTGTTTGGCAAGAGAGAGGTCTACTAAGAACACAAAGAATTAACTATTGAGTGTACATCACCTTTTGTCCAAGAATCTTGAATACATTCTAGGACATGCCTCATTCACCCTCATGCTTGTCTTCATGTTAAGGAGATAGAGATAGATAACTGCTGACTCATGGCAACCTTATATACAGCAACAGATTGCTGGCATGTCCATCATTGAGGCTATCTTG